CAACCCTTTTCTGAAGAATGATGCTTAGACTCTAAGCTATAACAGAGACCTAAACAATGTCGCTGGCAATATGCAATAGCTACCACGGGCAGTTTAAAACCTGGGGGAGGAAAATAATTTACAGACAGATACTTTAGAAACGAAAACAAAATTATCTCACCAGAATGTCATTGTGCAACAAAGTCGTCAGTATTTTATTTGACCTTTGAACGGGTGAAACGTTTTGAATGGCAATCGTATCGATGAATTTTACACTAAACCAAGCTTTCTTCTTAGATCTAGCTTTATTTACCCTCCGTTTCATCTTAAAACCGGAAGTGCAAGTTCGTAAATTTGAAATCTCGATCCCGACTCAAATTTGACATCGGAAAGAATTTTTTTTTTCTGAAAATTCAAAACCTTGAGCGGAGGGTTTGTAAAACTAAAAATAAAATAAATCCTGGCCTTAAATATGTAATTAGGTCATTAGTATATTAACCAGGAGGAAAGGATAAGATGTTCAAAGAATTCATGCATTTCACTATATAATCATTAGAGCCCCACCCTAAAACAAAAACCCCTGACCCTGGGGCCATAAAATTCACAATTTTGGTAGAGGCACTCTTGCTCATCATAACTATGTACTTAGTTAGTTTATTTAATACCCAGGAGCAGAGAAGAAGATTTTCAAAGAATTCATGTATTTTCACTATATAATCAATAGTGCCCCGCCCTAACACCAGAACCCCTGACCCTGGGGCCATAAAATTCACAATTTTGGTAGAGGCACTCTTGCTCATTATAACTATGTACTTAGTTGGTTTATTTAATACCCAGGAGCAGAGAAGAAGATTTTCAAAGAAATAATGCATTTTCACTACCTACTTATTTAGCCCCACCCTAGCACTAGAACCCCTGACCCCAGGGCCATGAATTTTCAAAATTTTGGTAGAGGACTCATCGCTGATTACAATCATGCAAACAGTTTGACTGCTTGATGTCCAGGAGTAAAGAAGAAGATTTTTAAAGACTGCATTAATTTGAGTGGTTTTGGCCCCACCCCTCAGGCCCCAGGGGGGGGCAGGGATCATGAAATTCACAATTTTTGTTCCCCTTCACCCATAGATGCTTTGTGCTAAATTTGGTTGAAATTGGTTCAGTGGTTGCAGAGAAAAAGCTGAAAATGTTCAAATGTTAACGCACGACGGACGACGACGGACGCAAACAGACAGAACTAGGTCACTTTAGCTTACTCAGGTGACATAAAATAACTTGAATCTACACTACCTGTGGATGCTTCCAATTAGTTTCATCATTCCTGGTCCAATGGTTTTGGAGAAGAAGATTAAAAAAAAAAATCCGATATATTCCTATGTAAAACTTTGTTCAGCCATTATGGCCCCTCCCTACCCTCAGGGGTCATGATTTGAACAAACTTGAATCTACACTACCTGAGGATGCTTCCACTTGCGTTTCATTTTCCTGCTCCAATGGTTTTGGAGAAGAAGATTTAGAAAAAAAATTCCGATATATTCCTATGTATAACTTTGATTAGCCATTGTGGCCCCGCCCTACCCCTGGAGGCGATGATTTGAACAAACTTGTCATCAGATTGAATTAAACCAGAAATGCATCGATCCGGAATGGATTGTAAATAGTTCGAATTTCTTATTGTCATTCTAAAATTATCTCTTTCTTCAGTAAAATTTTTGATTTGGTTTTGTGTGGTGTTCGTAGATACCTTACAAAGCACCGATTTTTTTGGAATATTTCTATACTTATTTCCAAAGAAACACTCACATGTATTTAGCTCTACTGGTCAGCGACCAGAAGACCTTATGCGATGGTAAGGTGTCCGCCTGTCTGTCTGTAAACATTTTTAAAAAATGCTACTTCTCCTACATTTTTGGTCTGATTTCAATATAACACAAGTAGACTATACTAAGATACATAAATCTGTGTATCGATTTTTAATTTTGATGGACGGTGTTGTCGTGGTTACTAAAAATAGAAATTTCTGTGAAATACTTTTAAAATGCTACTCCTCCTACAGCTTTGGTCTGATTTCAATATAACTTGGTACACAAGTAGACTATACTATGATACATAATTTTGTGTTTTGGTTTTTGATTTTGATGAACGGTGTTCCAATTTCTGTGAAATACTTTCAAAATGCTAACTCTTCCTACAGTTTTGGTCTGACTTCAGTATTTTTTGGCATACAAGTACTACGATGCATAATTTTCTTGATTGTTATTTTTAAGGATGTTGCCATGGTTACTACCTTGACACACAAGTAGACTACACTAAAAACATAAAATTAGCGCATTTGTTTTTGATTTCCCTGAACGGTGTTGCCATGGTTACTAAAAATAGAAATTTCTGTTAAATTCCTACTCCACCTACCATTTTGGTCTGATTTCAATATAACTTGGCACACAAGTAGACTACACTAAGAAACATAAAATAGCGCATCTGTTTTTGATTTCCCTGAACGGTTTTGCCTTGGTTACTAAAATTAGAAATTTCTGTGAAATTCCTATAAAACGCTACTCCTCCTACAGTTTTGGTCGGATTTCATTATAATTTGGCACACAAGTAGACTACACTACACTAAGATACATAACAAAATGCCTCGGTTTCTGATTTCGCTGAACGGTGTTGCAATGGTTACTAAAAATAGAAATTTCTGTGAAATTCCTCCTCCACCTACAGTTTTCGTCTGTTTTCAATTATAACTTGGCACACAAGTAGATTACACAAAGATACATAAAATAGTGCATCGGTTTTCGATTTCGCTGAACGGTTTTGTCATGGTTACTAAAAATAGAAATTTCTGTGAAATTCCTTTAAATTCCTCCTCCACCTACAGTTTTCGTCTGTTTTCAATTATAACTTGGCACAGAAGTGGATTACACAAAGATACGTAAAATAGTGCATCGGTTTTCGATTTCGCTGAACGGTTTTGCCATGGGTACTAAAAATAGGAATTTCTGTGAAATTCCTTTAAAACGCTACTTCTCCTACAGTTTTGGTCTGCCAACCACGTGTGATGCTGGGACGTTTTACTTCAGCGAGCAAAAGTGAAGAAAATACAAGGATTCTAGGGGCTGTGCTACTATACCCGATATCTTGGCTTTGTTTTCTCACAAGTCGTAAGGAATTTGTCCCGTTACTGTTCAGTATTCAGGTGTCGTGGCGTATTCTTTTGCTGAGAGCTTTACTTCAGACACCATGTTTCAGTTCAACATTTTATTACATAACATAAAGTGATGACGTAATGCACAAGTACACAAAAGGGTCAGACTAATTAACATACATTACATCCTAACACAAAGATTTATAAACTAGTACATCGATTTTGATTTCGCTTAACGGTGTTTCCATGGTTACTAAAAATAGGAATTTCTGTGAAATTCCTTTAAAACGCTACTTCTACAGTTTTGGTGTGATATCAACAAAACTTGGCACACAAGTAGACTACACTAAGATAAATAAACTAGTGAATCGGTTTTTTATTTCGCTGAACGATGTTGCCATTTTTAAAGAAATTTCTGTGAAATTCCTTTAAAATGCTACACTTCCAACAGTTTTGGTCTGATTTCAATATAACTTGGCACAGAAGTAGAGTATACTAAGATACATAAACTAGTGCATCGGTTTTTGATTTTGCGGATCGATGTTGCCATGGGTACTAAAAATAGAAATTTCTGTGAAATTCCTTTAAAACACTACTTCTCGCACAGGTTTGGTCTGATTTCAATATCACTTGGCACTGAAGTCGACTACACTAAGATACTTAATTTATTGCATTGTTTTTTGAATTCTATGAACGGTGTTGCCATGGTTACTTATAATAGAAATTTCTGTGAAATTCCTTTTAAATGCTACTCCTCCTACTTTTTTGGTCTGATTTCAATATAGTAGACTACACTAAGATACATAATTGAATGCATCGGTTTTTGATTTCGATGAAGTGTTGCCTTGGTTACTTGAAATAGAAATTTCTATGAAATTCCTTTAAATCGCTACTCCTCCTACAGTTTTGGTCGGATTTCAATATAACTTGGCACAGAAGTAGACTACACAAAGTGTTTCAGTTCAACATTTTATTACATAACAAAGTGATGACGTAATGCACAAGTACACAAAAGGGTCAGACTAATTAACATACATTACATCCTAACATCTCCCTTCCTTTGCAAATGAATGGTAATTACATTTAAATTCATTTACAAGTTTAAACTTTGGACAATATCAATCAAAATGTTTCTGCTACGTAAACAAAACTTGAAACATAAAACACAAGTATTTCTTTATTAAAGAAATAAAAACTGAATTACAGCATACATGTACATTTTAACATGAAACTTTCTGCATTTGAAAAAGTTCAGTAAAATAATTGCAAAACAGAAATTATATTTTTCACAAATATCATATTCACAGAACATAGTCGTCGAGTTTCTTTGGTAACCTTGGTGCACGCGAACTTGTTCGGCGGTTAACTGGGTTTACTGGATTTGCAGTAACGGTCTTTGGTTCACTCGGCCTTTGAGGAGTCGGTATTTTGCAACTTTAAGGTCTTTCACTTTGGATTTTTCGGAAGGTACTGAGGGCGCATCAAGTGTATCCTCGAATTCTGGAATTAACGGCGGAGTGGTGGCATCATAAGGCTCGTTTGTTGCGCGAAGGTTTCTTCGATTTCGTCGATATTGTTTATTGTTGATATCTACGATGTAAGAGCGATTTCCGATGTTATCCACACAAGTACCGTAACTCCATTTCTTTTCTGTATGATGTTTCATTCGGACTGGTTGACCAATTTTGGGTTCTGGTAGTTCCTTAGCAGATTTGTCGTAGTAGAATTTGGCCTTTTTTCGCTTGAACTTAACTTTATCGGCTACATCGTCCACAAGTTTGGGCTGGAGTAGTTCCGGCGATAAGGGTAAGGAATGTCGAGTCCTTCGTGACATAAATCGTTGTGACGGACTGCTAGCCATGTCTACTGTTGGGGTGTTCCTTTAATCTAAGACGCATTTCCACAGATCATCTCCGTTCTTCTTAGCCTTGCGCACCATGTTCTTTGCGATTTTCACCGTTGCTTCTGCTTTCCCGTTTGACTGACTATAATACGGGGAGGAGGTTACATGCTGAAACTCCCAATTACATGAAAAATCATGAAAGTCGGTTGATTTGAACTGCGGGCCGTTGTCAGTAATTACAACATCTGGTGTTCCGTGACGTGCAAAAATGTTGTTTCAAGCAGTTGATTACTGTGGCTGCCGTGGTATCTGGAAGAAGGTCGAGCTCAAAGAAATCTGAGTAAAAATCAACTGTGACAAGGTAATCCTCAGTCTTTAGAGTAAAGATGTCAATTCCAAGTTTTGACCATGGCTGGTCTGGGACATCATGTGTCATTAACGGTTCTTTCTGTTGTTTCCGTTGAAATGTGCTGCACGTGCTACACTTGCTGACAAAGTCCTTAATCTCTTCATTCATGAGAGGCCAATACAGCGAATCCCTAGCTTTCCGTAGACAGGCCTCAATTCCTAAGTGGCTGAAATGAGTGCGGCGTAGCATTTCTGGTCGAAGAGCTTTGGGAATTACAACGCGGCTGCTGCGGTAAATAATACCATCTTGCATGTAAGAGAGTCTCTGACATTCCAATATGGTCGTATTGGAATAGGAACGTCTTCCTTAGTATCAGGCCATCCTGAAAGTATTACTGTCTTTAGTGACTGGAGAGTCTCATCCTTGTTTGTCAAATCTCAGATTTGATTCAGTCTTGAGTCTGTGACCTTTCTAACCCACTCTGTCTGTTGGATGTGTGCTATCTCCTCAGCGAGTTTAGAAGTGTGCTGTCCATGATACTCCGGAGTTGCACGAGACAAGGTATCTGCGATGAACAACTCTTTTCCTCTGGTGTAAACAACATCCAGGTTGTATTTCTGGAGGCGTAGTAACATTCGCTGGAGTCTTTTTGGAGCTGACAAGAGAGGTTTCCTGAAGATCGTCTCAAGAGGCTTGTGGTCGACTGTACTGTAATGCAATCCTTACCATATATGTAATGGTCAAATCTCTCGCATGCAAAAACAATTGCAAGACACTCTTTCTCTATCTGTGCGTAACACTGTTCAGTTTTGGATAATGCACGAGAGGCATAAGCAATGGGCTGTCCATTTTGCAGTAATGTGGCTCCGAGGCCAACTTCACTAGCATCGCACTGAATTGTGACTTCCTGATGTACATTATAGTATTTGAGTACGGGTTGATGACTCACGAGACGTTTGACATTCTGAAATGCTTCTTCCTGCTGCGATTGCCAAGACCATATAGCTCCTTTGTCTGTGAGACGTCGCAAAGGTTCACAGGTTTCCGATAGGTGAGGTAAGAATCGAGACACGTATGTTGCTAGACCAATAAAGCGTTGCACTGCTTTCACATTTTCAGGTCTTTTCATGTTTGTAAGGCACTAACTTTGTCCGGATCAGGGCGGACGCCTTCTGCTGTAAGAATACTGCCCATGTATTTGACTTCAGTCTGACGAAGTTTGAACTTGTCCTTATTTAGCTTTAGTCCCACCTCACGAGCTCTTTGTAGAACTGCCGTCAAGTTGCGGTCATGGTCTTGAATTGCTGATTCCATGGTCTGTCCACAGCCGTAGACTATAATGTCATCCACCACACATTCTGCTCCAGATAGTCCTTCCAACACTTCATGTTGTCTGCGCTGGAATTCTTCAGGCGCTGATGAAATTCCGAATGGTAAACGCAACCATCTATATCGACCAAAAGGGGTCCAGAACGTAGTAAGGAAACTGCTAGATTCATCTAATTTGATGTGCCAGAATCCTTCTTTTGCATCAAGGACGGAGAATACTTTTGCGTTTGCAAGATTCGGTAATATGTCCTCAAGGGTAGGCATGATATAGTGCGGTCGCTTGATAGCTTTGTTCAAATCTCTGGGATCAATACATATGCGTAGCTTACCAGGTTTTTTCACTGTTAGCGTACTACTTATCCAGTCTGTAGGAGTAGTAACTTTCTTGATCACACCTCTGTTCTCGAGATCCTTCAGCTTTGTGTGAATTTCCTGCTTCATGGCTTGATGAACTTTTCTTGGTTGATGCTGAACTGGTTTAACAGTCGGATCAATTTCAATCTTGTACTCTCCTGGGAAAGATCCTAGTCCCTCGAATACATCATGGTATGTAGTTTACAGCTGACTGCGCGTCAGTGGTTCAAAGTTCTTCTCAGCTGATGTATCAACACTGTTCACAATGTTCACAGTTAACAGTCCTAACTTTTCACATGCTTCAGCCGAGAGCAATGCGATTTGATCTGTATCCACCACATAAAAGTTCAGACATTCTGTATTGTTTTGTACTGAGCAGGTAATGTCAACGGTACCTAAGGGCTCAAGCTTTGATGTTCCACCATAAAGTCGCAGAGCCTTGCCAGTTGGTTTCAATGGCGGACAACCATTTTGGGTAAGAATGCAGTATTGCCGAAATCCAAGAATGTTACCTGTTGATCCTGAGTCCAGTTGACAGATTACATCTTGACGAGTTGTATCGTCGATCACCATGTTGACTTTTGTAAACCACTGTTTACCATGTGTCGTCTTCACTGTGTAACAAGATTCACAATCACTACTGTCATCGGTTTCATCAAGTTGAAGAACAGTCTTGCTAGCACTCTAACACACTGAAGCGAAATGATTTTTCTTTTTGCACTTGTTGCAGGTCTGTCCATAAGCCGGACACTTGTTTCTTCCTCTCGCATGCTTTCCACCACAGTATTTACATTTAGAATCTCCTTTGCTTGGGTATTTTGGTGGCTTTGTTGAAGACTTTTTCTGCTGCTTCATATCTTTCTTGTGCTTCTTATTTCCCCTTGCTGCATAGTTGACTTGAGCTGTATTATTATTATTAGTGTCACTCTGTCTTTGTAGTTTCTTAAGCTGACAGGAAGTTCTCTCACTGGTTCTACACATGTCTATGGCGCTGTTAAGTGTGAGCTTAGATTCTCTGAGCAATCGTCCACGAACACTTTGGTCCTTGGTTCCAAGTACTATCCTATCACGAATCATTTGGTCCATAATATCACCAAATTCACATGTCTTTGCAAGTTCTCGTAGTCTGCACAAGTAATCGTCAAACGATTCATTAGGCATCTGGTCTGCCGTATTAAAGATATATCGTTCATAGATCACATTTGTTTTTGACATGAAATGACCATCCAATGCTTCTAGAATTTTGTCAGTATCTTCTCTGTCTTGAACACTGAGTGGTAAGTTTTCATATATTTGGAAACAGTCTTTACCCATCACTGTCAGTATCGTTGCTATCCGAATAGGCTGTTCCTTCTTGATAAAGCCTATGGCAATTTCATAATTGGCCCACTGTGATTTGAAAAATTTCCAGTTGCCCCTGATGTCACCTTTCACTACCATGGCAGCTGGTACAGGTAAGTCTTTAGAGCTAGCCATTGTGTTATGATATGAACAGTTCTGTGGCTTTGTATGGCAAAAAATGTATGTGTATCAAAGGTACGTCTCATATATTAATGTAGATTAATATTGCATGAGTGTTTCATACAGTTATTGTAACACAATGTCAATTCTACACCATAACAGAAGTATGCGCATTTTTGGGTAGAAAAAAAATGGCGGCGTGCCAACCACGTGTGATGCTGGGACGTTTTACTTCAGCAAGCAAAAGTGAAGAAAATACAAGGATTCTAGGGGCTGTGCTACTATACCCGATATCTTGGCTTTGTTTTCTCACAAGTCGTAAGGAATTTGTCCCGTTACTGTTCAGTATTCAGGTGTCGTGGCGTATTCTTTTGCTGAGAGCTTCAATTCTGACACCATGTTTCAGTTCAACATTTTATTACATAACATAAAGTGATGACGTAATGCACAAGTACACAAAAAGGTCAGACTAATTAACATACATTACATCCTAACACAAAGATTTATAAACTAGTACATCGATTTTGATTTTGCTGAACGGTGTTTCCATGGTTACTAAAAATAGGAATTTCTGTGAAATTTCTTTAAAACGCTACTTCTACAGTTTTGGTCCGATATCAACAAAACTTGGCACACAAGTAGACTACACTAAGATAAATAAACTAGTGAATCGGTTTTTGATTTCACTGAACGGTGTTGCCATTTTTAAAGAAATTTCTGTGAAATTCCTTTAAAACGCTACTCCTCCTACAGTTTTGGTCTGATTTCAATATACATGTAGCTTGGCACAGAAGAAGACTACACTAAGATACATAATGTAGTGCATCGGTTTTAGATTTCGATGAACAGTGTTGCCTTGATTTCTAAATTAAAATAGAAAGAACTATATGCGGTATATTGCATATGTTTGCCCCCACAAAAGTCAAATTTTGAAAACTTCCTGAAATGTGCTGAATTCAATAAATTGTACGAGAAATATAAGTTAACAGAAAATATTATAGTTCCAGAGCAGTGTATTCACAATTTCTGTTTTTATGACGTCACAAACTAGTCCGATTTTATATCCTTTTTCAGAAAGAGGACAAAATGGACAAAATTTCAACAATTTAAGCTTTAAAATTTATAGAGCGCATGTGTGTTCAGGAACAATATTGACATATTTCATTGATATTATCATTCTACACATTATATCAAAATATTTATCCTGAACACACATGCGCTCGGTGACTTTTATTTAAAATATCGACGAAATATGTACATTTTTCTGCAAAATTCATGAAAAACTGAAATTTACGTCATATTTGTGACGTCATTACGTACATATGACGTCATTACGTATGAAATTATTCAGTGCTTTGAAGTCAGCATATACTCCCCTGTTTAAAGACTTGATTAAATATTACTCCATCAAAGTTTGATTTTGGGGGGCAAATGTTGGTTAATACCGCATATAGTTCTTTCTGTTAAATACTTTCAAAATGCTACTTTTCTTTCCCTTTGTTATAAGTATAAACCAGTAGAGCTACAGTCTCGACAGAGACTTCTGGTTTTAAATGTTTCTATTGTATTCCTCTAGAATAAAATCGAGACCTTGATGTGGTCACTACATGAGAAAGATGTGTTACTATTTAAACAATCTAAAATTTCTGAGGGCATCAGAAGTCGGGAGGTGAGGTATTTAAAAAAAAACTATCAAACATGTATTTACCGTATTTGTCTGAATTTTTTTTCGTGTGCTATCCCTCGCCTGTTGTAATACCTCCAGAAGTGAAGAACTCTTTCAGTAACTTTTATAATGTTTTAATTTTCTTATTATTTTAAGTTGAGAGTTGATCTTTTTTAAGATGGACAGGGCAAGATGGACAGGGCAACACCGAAACCCTGACGGAATAAATATCGCTCCTTAATTGAATGTATGCAAAGGTCACCTGCAATTTGGTCCAGGTCATCTGCAAAACGAAAGAGGTCGCCCGCGTGGCGCAGTGGTTAAAGCGTCTGCTCTAAAATTTGGGAAGTAAAGAGCTGATCCTTACGTCGCGGGTTAGAATCCCACCGCGGAGACCGGTCCTTCGTATGAGGCCGTATAAACCTAGATCCCGTTTCGCAGTAGGTGCTGGCACGAAAAAGATCACTCCCTGATCAACGGCCCTCAGTGCCAAGTTAGGACA